AAGAAGTCATGGGGTAGAGGTTGGTCGCACTGGTGACTGCTTTCACAGCATCATGACCTGTCTCTAGACGTGCCAAGCTCTGCGTGTCTACACTCCCACGCTCTGGAGCCTCTCTGCTTTGGACCACTCCTCCCTTACAGCACAGCCAGCCCTCACTTCCTCTTTATGTGGAAGACAGTTTTATGCGGCTGTATTTCTCCCCGGTTCTTCCAATTGTGAGTGCTGAAGGGCGGGCACAGCATCTCATTTACAACCATTGTCAGGGAGCTACCTACACCATCTCTTTAAGGGCTCATAACTCATGAAAGGTGGACAGGATCCCACCTCCTCACACGTGAAGAAAGTACGGCGCTGAGGCACAGCAGTCGCTCCGATGCTCCACGCCAAGTCCAATGCTACAGCCTGTGGCCCTTCTCTGCCTCACCTGTCAGGTCCTCTTCACCAGCTCTCACCCTCTGCTGATGCCCACATCACTGTGAAAGGAGGCAGCCATGCCCCTAGTACCTTGCTCACCTCTGCCCCACTGCCTGCCACACACCATGGCACAGCGGGCGCATGCGATGAGTCCTCGGTGTTCCACTGAGCAGGTTTTCTAGCACGATGATGCCCCAGCCCTGCTTCTCTTCTGCTTGGGATGCAAGGCTCTGCAGCTTTGCTGCCCTCTTCTTGCACTGAGATTCTAACTATTCTGCGCAATTATGCAGAATGCCCAGCCCAGCCTCACACCATAAGACCTCCTGAGAATTTGGTAGGAAGCTTCATGTGTAATTCACTTGCCCTTCAGGCTTTCTCTGGAGAGAGCCCTGGGTACAAATAAAACTGACTCCTAATAATAATTAGGTGCTGTAGAGAGGCCTCTGACACCCAGGGAGCCTGCAGCATCTCGCCTGGGCTCAGGCACCGCACAGAACCAGAATTCACATTGCAAGATGATTCCAAAGACAGAGGTTTGCAACCTTGACCACACACTCAACTTGACTAGGCACAGAAATCCCCTGAGGACCTTTAAAATCACCTGGTCTGCGTGCCAGCCTATTTGTAACTAGCCACTCTGTAATCATGCACACATTTAGACTACCTCATGAAGCCACAGGACACTCCTCAGAGTACCAAACACCCTGCTAAGAGAGTAACTTGTTAGCACCTGGTGGAGGGAGAACAGCCTGGAACTACTGAATTTAAAAGTTCACTCCTTCGAACAGTAAGCCCCTTTGGGGTATTTACTCCACAAAAATGAAAAAGTAAAATTTAGTGAAAAGGAGAAAATGATGAACCGGGCTCCTTGCCCACATAATGTGACAGTCATTGGAAAAGTTGTGCAAAAGAGAATGTATTTGCAAGATCGACTGTGGGGATAGGGGACCAAGTCTCTAGTCTACCTCCCCAAAGGTAGAGCTTGGAGATATTTATGGGATGAAAAGGAAGGGCAATGGAAGGCAAGAGGAAAAGGTGATGGAAGATCTACGGCCTGTGCACAGAATGGAATTTCCCAGCTCTTCATAGGACACACGGCCAGACTGCGGTGGCACAGCATAATCTGATGGTGGAGTTTTCTCAGTATCCAAAGGCCACCCATCAGCTGTTTGCTCAGGTCAAATTGAAGCTAGTGGCTTTGACAAAAGTGGACTTCAAGTCCTGCAGGCAACCAGGCTACTGTTACCCTTTTAACCCACACATCAGTAGCTATCTACACCAAAGCTAGCAGAAGACAAAGGATCTACTGCTCATCATCTGGCTTTACAAAGTGAATTAATTTTTTAATTTAAATTTGACAAAACGTGGGGCTGGTGAGATGGCTCAGTGGTCTAAAGCACCTACTTAGAACAAGCTTAGCAAAGCACAGAGACTGAGGTTCAATCCCCAGCACCACAAGCCAGCCAGCCCCGCCCCCTGGTGGGCTGAGCTGGCCACACACACACACACACACACACACACACACACAAATAATTTAAAAAAATTTAACAAAACGCAAGTCATGGAAAGCAAGTGAGGCTGCAGGTGCCTTCAGGTTTTCCCTGCACTTCCTTGTGAGTGCCCTTGACATCCACCCAAGTCATTGTCTCACTGTGCACAGTTCCTTTTTATTGCTAAAGATTCCTCCTCATGATGTTTTGTTGTCTCTTAACCGTTCATCTGTCATAGATGTTGTGACTGTTCCCTGCTTTGGCTACAGGAATAATCCTGTGATGACCAAGAGCAAACAGATTTTGGTGTGGACACAGACTGCATTTTCCTGGAATAAAATCTCAGGAATGCAATTCCTAGTCATATGTTAAGTGTTTGAGTTTCTTTTTTTCCTACTTTTTTTACTTTGTAGAGTAGCTCTATCCTTTTGCAATACCATCAAAATTTAATGACCCTTCCAGCTGCTTGACATTATCACCAGCATTTGGTAATGCCACTGATTTGTATTTTAGCCTTTCCAAGGGTGATGTGATAATTTTTATTGGGTTCTTCACTTGCATTTTGTTAATGGTTAATCATGTTGCACATATTTTCATTGCTTGTCAAATATCTTCTTTGGCAAAATGTATCTTAATGTCTTTGCCTGCTTTCTAATTGGATTATTACTAAAGACTTTTGACAGTTTGATGCTTGGACACAGATGATTAAACAGAGGGCCTTCACAGTGAGCTACTTCCCTAGGCTTTTTTATGTTTTTGATTCCAAGTTTTGCTAAATTGCCCAGTGAGACTCAAACCTCCAGCCTCAGAGAACTGGGATTACAGGGATGTGCCAACATGTCTTGTTGCCATTCTTTCTATAATCCAGATGCAAGACTATGTCTGGTACTGGTTTCAGCACCAAATAATCATCAAAGAAAACCTCTTGATCACAAACAGAAGGGTGCTGAAATAGTATTCGTGAACCTTCTGAAATGTCACGACTTATCCTGAAACAATTCTGTTGATGTCCACACTAAAGGCAATCACAACAGAACTGCTGGGGCCTTAAATTAATCAAGGCAGTGGCAATGAATTGTACCCATAGGGATTCTATCTGTTTCTTTCATACACCTGCATCTCAAACACCAGTTTAAGCCAGGTGTGGTGGCACACACCTATATTCCTACCCACCGGGGAGGCTCTGGACAACCTAAAAACAAATCCAATTATAGCTAGGAATATTATAGGAGAAGCAATAAAAATAGTGTTAAGTCTTGGGGGGAAAAAAATAAGGAAAAAAATACCACTGTGGGAATATATGAACAGAAACTGTACAGTGTCAAAAACCTAAAACAAGCTAAGTGGTCCCCTAATGTGAGATGAAATTATAGTACGTCATATATAGTAAAACCTTGGTATGTGAGCATAATTCATTCCAGAGTATGCTTATACACCAAAGTACTTAGGTGTTAAAGCAAATTTGCCCATAATAATAGAAATATAGATGATTCATTCTACAACTCAAAAATCATTTTATATTCATATAAAATGATTACAATACTGTAACACAAAATAAGAAAATACAAAATATAGGGGCCAGCGAGATAGCTCAGCAATCTAAAGTGCCTGCTTAGGAAAGCTTAGGCAAGCGCAGGGACTGCAGTTCAATCTCCGGTACCACATGCCGTGCCAGCCCCGCGCCCCAAGGTGGGCTGAGCTGGCCACAAAAAGAAAGAAAATACAAAATATAAAGAAAACTAAACAAATTAATCCACACTTAGCTGTGAAAAGCTTTGTGGCTGTGTAAAGGAAACTAGAGGAAGGGTATTGTGTAATTATTGTGTAGAATGAGGTCCACTAACTTAGTTACCTACTGGCTCATGGAATCCTTCTCTTTCTGTGCAACTTTAACAAGGAACCTATCCAATGACACTTGCCTATGGCTCCTCTTCAGGGTTTTGTGAAATGTGACACTGTATTGTAGTTAAACAGATTTGTCGCTCACATTGCTACAGCCTAATTTGTATAACACTTTTCTACAAAAATGTATACTGTTTCTCACATTTTACACATCACCCTAATCTCATTTGAAGTGAGGGATTCGTCCACCTTTTTCTCCTCCTCTGCAGATGAGATCTTCTCCATAACCTCTTGCTGGTGGGAAACAATCACCCACAATCCCATAGCGAAAGGAGGAGAACCATTGGCTCAGTTGTGATCACGTGACACTTGACATCATATACTGCACACAAGACATCACTTGTTTATCAAGTTAAAAATTATTAGAAATGTTTACTCATCTTACAGAACACTCAGAGCAAGCTATTCACAATCTAATGTTTTATTGTACCATTATATACAACCGCTTAAGAATGACATAAACTGGCTGGCTGGCTGGCTAGTCTGGGTACTGAGAAGGTCCCTTCTGGACCTTCACATTGAGTTGCATTCCCAGTAGTCTGAGACAGTGTCTTGCAAAGTTGCAGTCCCCTTCCTTGACCACCCCCCAAAGTGCTATGAATCAAGGCACAGACCGCTAGGCCCAGCTATGCTTATGCTCTTAGAAAACACAAGGAATAAAAGCAAAGCAATAACATCGTCAAAGAGCTTAAAGATGTTAGGGATCTGATAAGACTGCAGCAGAGTACACTGATCAGAAATTAGACACTTTAAGGGCCAGTGAGATAGCTCAGTGGACTAAGCACCTGCTTAAGCAAATACAGGGACCAGGGTTTGATCCCCGGCACCACAGGCCATGCCGGCCCCACCCCTGGGAGCACTGAGCCAGCCACCAAGATGGGGTGTGGTGGTGCATGCCTGTAATCCCAACGCTGGGGAGGATGAAAAAAGGAAGATCACTATGAATCTGACTTGCTTAGTGGGACCCTGTACTAAACACATTAAAAAAAAAAAAAAAAAGGAAAAAAGAAATTAGACATTTTAAACATAAGCTTTATTTTAAACTTAAATGTTAAAAGTAAACATTTGCTTTACAAATTTCAAGTTACTTAAAACAATTAAGTAGGAACATATTTTTAATTCAAAATGATAACATCTGTAGAATACATTTTGGTGTTGGCCAAAATTAAAATAAGAAATATATATATATTTTTTTTTGTAGAGTGGCTCCATCATTTTACAAGCCCATCAAAAATAAATGACAGTTCCAGCTTCTCAGCATCATCACTAGCATTTGGCAGTGCCACTGATTTGTATTTTAGCCTTTCCAAGGGCAATGTGATAAATCTTATTGGGTTCTTAACTTGCATTTTGTTAATGGTTAATCATGACCATTAACACTAAAAACATTACTCTTGTATATATGATTCCTCAACAATTATTAATATATAAGGTTAAGCAAGTCTTTAACATACTATCCCAGATAACTTTTTCAAATATAAAACATTTATACCAGCAAGGAAATTATAAAAAAGTATGTCAATTATACCAAAGGACTTGAAGACTTTAGATACAGACAGAATTGTTTCACTTTAGGAAACATACATAGTCATATACAGAATACATCCATTCTTTTTTTTTTTTAACTTTGCTACCATTTGTGGGGTTTTTTTTGGGGGGGTACTAGGAATCAAACTCAGGACCTTGTGCTTGCCAGACAAGCACTTGTGCCACCGAGCTATATCCCCAGTTCCCCATCCATTCTTAGTTTCTTCACACAGCCAACTACATGTTTGCAAATGTCACTCTTATCAACTGAAAAAAACACACATATATTTTTTAAAAGCTTCTGAAGACACGCTGGGATATAATGCACGTCCCTTTAGAGCAGAGCTCTTCACAGGTCACCTCTGTCCAGCCGGCTCCCAGGGACCGATGAACTGTGCCTACCCTCAGAAAGACAGGATGGTCTTGGTAATGATTTCCACAGCCTCCTGGATCTCGTCCTCTTTGATCACGAGCGGAGGGGCCAGCCTGATGATGTGGCCGTGGGTGGGCTTAGCCAGAAGCCCGTTATCACGCAGCCGCAGACATACCTTCCAAGCATTATAATCTGTGGAAAAATGGGCACACATGTGTGCTCATCGTGACTGTTTAAATATTAATCCATCCCCCTTGCTGTGGAACAAGTGCAGATTTGAAGAAAAAAAAAAAAAATTCCCAGGACTTGCTCAAGCAAGGAAACTCTGAGTTAGTTCTGCATTTTGGGGCGGTGTTTTATTGCTGAAGAATTGAACCCAGGGCCTTAGTCATAGGCAAACACTCCCACTAAGCTACATCTGCCCTGCTCTCCTTCATTAAAATGGAGTTAATCCAGACTTCCAGCAAGCATAAATGTAACTAGGTTTGAACTGCACATTTAGACTCAGTCATGCTTTCTGGTTTTTTATTTTTTCATAAATGAAAAATCAAACAAAAGACACTCTAAGGCAGCTGTTGTGCTAGAGGCTAAGTATCCCTTAAACATCCAAACTGCTCAGGACCTGCAGTGTTTTGGACACAGGAGTATGCACAGGTACATGAGATTACCTTGCGGAGGGCTAAACACTAAGCTCATTTATGTTTCATACAGTTCATACACAAAGCCTACGACTAATTTCACATAATATTTGTAGAGCAACTGCATTCTGACTAGGACCTGCCACACACAGTCAAGGGCTTAATTTGCTATTTCTGATGTCTGGTGCTCAAGAAGTTTCAGATTTGTCAGGTTAGGGACACTTAACCATTACTTACATAAGGAACTCACGTTAATGCGACTAATGCAGAAGAACCTGAGTAGGACCCAGAAAGCTGGCACAGAATAAGCAACATCTAAAACCAAATTCAGGGCAACGCCGCCTTCCTAAGACGGCTGTGCTGCCTGAGCCTGCAGGACCTGCGCTGGTTCCCAAGCCCTGCCGCACATCGGAATCACCAAAGGAGCCACTGCAGGCGTCCGTGCTCCTCCCCAACCCAGCAAGCCAGAACTTCTGGGGCAAGGCCTGGCTTTGATTCCCTCTCCGAAAGCTCCCAAAGTGATTCTGAAGTACAGCCCAGGCTGGAACCACTGCTCAACAAGGAAGACATCACAAGAAAAATCCAGCGAGGAGGTGATAAACAATGCACTAAGGGCTGGGGAGATGGCTCAGTGGAATAAGCGCTTCCCTGGCAAGTGCAAGGACCTGAGTTCAATCCCTGGCTCCGCGAAAAAAAAAAAAAAGTCATAGATAAACAATGCACTGACACAAACCCCCAGTAAGTGACAGATTTTTATACCAACGCCCTCACTGTTATTCCCATTATTACTATGGCTCCAATGACCTCAGCTGATGTGTGACGGATCTAAGGGAGGGAGGAGAGGTCAGCAAAGAAGAAACTCCCAGAGACAGTGTTCTGTCCAGACAAGCAGGAAAGAGCTCAGGGCCTCCAAACGCTGCCTGTCTAATCAAATACAGAAAACAAATGTGTCCGAGAAGCAAAAACAGATTAAACTGGTTAGGTGTGATACTGTGTTGGAAAGAGCTACATTTTTCAGTATCACTAATTTAAAAATCAGCCAGTCAAATAGTTCAGTGGATTAAAGCGTCTGCAAGCAGGGGGGGGGTTCAATCCCCAAGCCTGCCAAGCCAGCCCTGCCCCCGGGGCATGCTGAGATGGAGATTAAGACTAGGTGTTGTGGCATGTGCCTGTAATTCCAACTCTTGGGAGGCTGTAAACAGGCGGATCACTATGAGTCTAATCTAGTAGTGCGACCCTGAACACCCCGTAGACTCTTCTGTAAAACACACACACACACACACACACACACACACACACAAAGACTAATATAAAAATTAGATAATACTATCTAAAACATTTGCCCAATCAGCCAGTCAACAGTTTCAAACAAAGGGATGCTCGCCCCGCACCACTAATCAAAGTTTTTAGTGTATGTGCTATCGAAGCAACTGCTCCAATCAAAGTTTTGAAAGTGATCTTGCTCTTTCAGCTTGTCTACATACCTCTGGTTTCTCTAATAACAATAGCATTTAACAGTCCTTTTCCTCTTACAGCAGTTACAATGTCAGAGGGCAGCTTCATGAGTTCATTTCTCAAGATAGTACCCATTTTCTCGGCATTTTCATTAAGCTTTTCTTCTTCCAAAACCTATGTTCAGAGAAAAATTAAACACATGTTAAGATTGTCATTGTTCCAGGGGCCGGGAGATAGCTCAGTGGAATAAGTACTTGCCTGGCAAGCTCAAGGTCCCGAGTACGATCCCTGGTACTACCAAAAAGAAAAAAAGACTGTCCTTTTTTAGTTATTCCTTGTAGGGTAACAGAGTAAAGACAAAGGAAAAACAGTTAAAGACCAGAATGATTTAGCTTTTATTTGTTTTACAAGGCCTGTATTAGTTTAATCTCTAGTTAAACAGACACACCATTCTCAGAGCCTTGCTTTAGTCACAGATCTACTGCCAATGTCTTCATGACAAAATAAAATTCAGGAGTTGTTTTTTTTTTTTTTTAATATATTTAGTACAGGGTCTATAGGGTCTCGCTACATAGACCAGGCTCATAGTGCCCCTCCTATTTTCAGCCTCCCAAGCACAAGAATTACAGGTACATGCCGCCACACCCATTCTAATAAAATTTAACACAATTTATGATAAGCTGTCATTATGGCTAGTGAGATAGCTCAGTGGTACAGGGACCAGGGTTCGATCGCCAGTACCACATGCTGTGCCGGCCCCACCCCTGGGCACGCCAAGCAGGCCACCCAGACTGAGCATGGTGGCACACGCCTGTACCCCAGCGCTGGGGAGGCTGAAAACAGGAGGATCACTACGAGTCCAAGCTGCATAGCGAGACCCTGTACCAAAAACATAAAAAAAAAAAAAAAAAAAAGGCTGTCATTATCCAACAGTTTATCAATGGACTAAATAGAACTTAAATTTTAAACTACAGTACAAGTTCCTTTTTTTCTCTAAGATATCTATCCATAGATTATTTAATTTAATTTTATTTTTTTTAATATTTATTTATTTATTTATTTATTTAATGTGTGGCCAGCTCAGCCCACCAGGGGGCGGGGCTGGCTGGCATGTGGTGCTGGGGGATTGAACCGTGGTCCCTGTGCTTTGCTAAGCTTGTTCTAAGTAGGTGCTTTAGACCACTGAGCCATCTCACCAGCCCAGATTAATTTTAACCCTTAAAAGTATTCATTTAGTATTTTAAATTTTATATATCTACATTTGTTGTAGTTGTTGCAGTGCCGGGGGTCAAAGTCAGACCTTGCTCATGCCAGGCAAGCAATCCAGCTGAGCTGACCCCCAGTTCCATTTTTCTTTGTTCTTGTTGTTTTAAGACAGGCTCTAAGTTGCCCAGACTGGCCTCAAACTTGCAATCCTGCCACAACCTCCCAATTACAAACATGCACCAGTACACCCTGCTTATCATTTTTACTTACTCGCATTGAAGCTCAAACCCAGGTACTCACTGTAAGCCTCACTGTACCTCGGAGCCAGACCCTCCAGCCTCCAGGGTCAGGCATAAACACTCTAAACCCCAGGTGACTGCAAACTCAGGAAGCCCAGGAAAAAAGCCCCGTCTACTAGACAAGGCGACGGTCAGCTTTCTACTAGAGAAATGCTTTGTTCTTAAAACCTTGCTTCTGGGGCCGCGGAGATGGCTCAGTACAATAAGCACTTCCCTGGCAAGTGCAAGGGCAAGAGTTCAATCCTTGGTCCCGCCAAAAAAAGAGCTTGCCTGGCAAGTTCAGGGTCCTGAGTTCAATCCCCAGTTCCGCCAAAAAAATTAAAACCTTGCTTCTGTATACCACTTTCTCTTATACTCAGCGATCTTATTAAATTTGTTATAGGCCCAAACTGCAAATCACCTCAACATTAAAGAAGTAGACGCTGCTAGCTGTATCAATTCTTACCTCCAGGGCTGCGATAGCCACGCGACAGCCCAGTGGATTGCCGCCGTACGTGGACCCATGCTCCCCGGGCTTAATGGTCAGCATTATGTCATCATCACATAGCACCGCGGACACCTGAAATAGAATTGTCCACATTGTTTCTCAGGCTCAGTATTCCTAACACACGAGGAACATAAATATTTACATAAACCTGATATTAAATTTACGTAGTTTCAACAAATGTCGCCAGTAATAACCACAGCAATACCCCAACGTAACAGGAATACATTCAGCACACTTCAATGGAACAGAACAATGCAATTTTAGAACTAAGAGAGAAAAGCTATTTGTGCAGGAAGAGAATTTACAATACTTTCTAATTTCAAGGTGAAATGTTTTCACTGCTTAGAAAACATAGTTCAGCATCCTCTTCCACAACAGTTTCCTCTAGTCGGCAGGAGTATCCATCCCTTAGACACCTTTAACCTGGCCCTAATTATTAACTCTGGCTAGCAAACTCAGGAAAAAAAAAAACCACAAGAAAGCATTTTTCATCCCTATGTTCACCAGTCATAGCTTAAGCATCTGGAATGCCATGTTTCTAAACAGTGAAAAAAAAGGACACAGGAATTTACAACAGAACCTTACAGCTAAGATGTTTCAATCCTAATCATAGGAAATTCCAAAGCATAACTCTCTCAGTTCTAAAATTCCATTTTTCTACCAAAATTAAGTAAGTCACATAACTGAAACCTTAAATACTTTTACTGCAGATATTGCAGGAGGCCATAGAATATTTAGTAAAAATCAAACCATGTGAAAGACATTCTTGATACTATCACTGGGTGTAGAATATTTTAGAGGTAAACTTCAGGACAGCTGGGACTAGAAAGAAAGGCTGAGGGAAACTTAGTTCTCTTTCCCATCTTGCAAGATGATGGGTGAAAAAACTGAGAAGCCATAAAGAGAAGAAACCTGAAACCATGAAGGCTGCTGCCAGTGGTTCTGGTAAAAAGGGTAAGGTGAAGGCAAAAAAAAAGTCAAGAAGGGGCAGCCCCACTGCAGCCAAAATCCTGTCCTGGTTAGATGAATTGGTAGATACTCCAGAAAGTATTCCAGAAAGCCTCTGTATAAGAGACAGTACACAGCTGCTAAATCAAAGGTTGAGAAGAAAAAGGAGAAAGTTCTTGCTATGATCAAAAAACCAGTTGGTGGGGACAAGAATGGAGGTACGCGGGTGGTTAAGCTTCGAAAAATGCCTGGATACTACCCTACTGAAGATGTGCCCTGAAAGCTCTTTAGTCACAGCAAGAAACGCTTCAGTCAGCATGTGAGGACACTTCAAGCTAGCATCACTCCCCGCACCATCTTGATCATCCTCACTGGGCGTCACAGAGGCATGACAGTGGTCTTCCTAAAGCAGTTGGCCAGAGGCTTGCTACTTGTGATTGAGCCTCTTAGCATTAATCGTGTTCCTCTACAAAGAACACACCAGGGCGGGGCAGATGGCTCAGCGGAATAAGCGCTTCCCTGGCAAGCACAGGGCCTGAGTTCAATCCCTGCTTCCACCAAAAAAAAAAGAACACATCAGAAATTTGTCATTGCCACCTGTACAAGAATGGGTATCAGCAAAGTAAAAATCCCCAAACACCTCACTGATGCTCACTTCAGGAAGCAGCAGCTGCAGAAGCCCAGACGCCAGGAAGGTGAGATCTTCAACACCAAGAGATACATGAGATTCGAGAGAGAGACCAGATTTCGGAGCAGCACAAGGTAGACCAGAAAGTGGCAGACTCACAGATTTTAGCAAAAATCAAAACTGTTCCTCAGCTCTGGGGCTACCTGTGATCCATTTCTGCTCTGACAAATGGAATTTATCCTCATAAATTAGTGTTCTAAATTTCTTACTAAGAACCTAATTAAATAACATACATTTAAAGAAAAAAAAAAAGGCTGAACATTAAACTTACAGGGTATAAGCCCCCAGAAAGGGCCTTTCCAAGAAGAACTATGTCAGGCCTAACATTTTCATGATTTACAGCCAGCCATTTACCAGTTCTGGCCAATCCTGTCTGTATTTCATCAGCAATAAACAGGACCTATCAGGAAACAATACAACACTGTTATTTTCATTCTGTAGGGAAAAACAGCAATCGGTACATTACTTCCCCTCCCCACAAATGTGTAATTCCGTCATGCCCACTCCCATGAAAATTAATCATCCACATAACTTTAACAACATCTTACGAAAATCCCATAAACACACCCACTGCTTCCTATGTCAGGCCACTTCCTCCCTGGGGGCCCCACCCAATGCTCTACAGAAGTGGAAATGCACTTACATAAAAGGAAGGGGTTCAGAGCACTTCTGAGACACATAAATTCACTCAGTTACCCCATAAGCATTCATCAACTATTCTATGTGACAGGAATTATCAGTGACAAAATCTACCAAGATTAGCCTTACTGGGAGAGAGTGGATAGAAGCTATACTTTGGCAAAGAGGGACAATGCAGGGATTAGAGGGATGAAGAAAGCCATGACCCTGGAGAAGAGAGGAGGGAAACACTGTGGGGCCAGGAGGTCCACAGCTCCACTCACAGGTAAGGGTCTCGCCGGTGTTTCAGGGACAAAAGGTGAGATTGCCAAGTACATTTCTAAGCATTAGTGAGTTCTAGGAATGATGTCTCCTTCTAGAGTAGAGGAAGGGCAATTTAGTCTCCACTCATCCCATGAGCAGAATTCAGTCTCATGGAGGAAACTGAGCCTGTTGGGCTTCATCACAAACAGTTAAGCTGAGTGTGGTGGCACACACCTCAGGAGGCTGAGGCAGCCTGAGATACTTGGCGAGTGCAAGGCCAGCCTAAGCTACATATCAAGACCCTATCCGAAAAATAAAAAATAGCTAAACTGGGCACAGTGGTGCACACCTGTAATCCCAGCACTTAGGAGACTGAGGCAAGAGGGCTACCTCGAGTTCAACGCCAGAATGGACTACAGAGCAGGACCCTGTCTCAGAAAAAATAGTTTTTAAATAGTTAAAGGCGCTGGTCAAATTGCTCAGCAGATTAAAGCACCTGCTTAGGCAGACGAAGTGGCCAGGGTTCAATTCCCGGCTTACTGTACTGGCCCCACCCCCGGGGCACGCTGAGAGGGTGATTGAGACGGGGCATGGTGGCATGCATCTGTAATCCCAGCACTTGGGAGGCTGAACACAGGCAGATTACTACAAGTCTGATCTTCATAGTGAAACCCTATAGTTCCTTACTAAAAAATACAAAAAAAAAGTTAAGATGAACAACCTCATGCTTCGTGCAGAGTTCTCGAACTCCCACGAGGTACCCTGGGTCAGGAACAACAACGCCTGCTTCACCCTGAATTGGCTCTACCATGAA